CTTTTACTTTGTATGTTCCGTAATAAAAGTCACCCACATAAAAAATTAATTTCATCGGACATCTATACACATAAGAACAAATCATATTTTGTTTTATAAAATGAATAGTAAATAAGATTGTAAAATTAAACTATTCATTTTGTAAAACAAAACGTGGTTTGTTTCTATGTTTATAGTTATCCGATAAATCTAATTTTTTATATGAATAACTTTTATTGTGAAACCTATGAAGTAGACGTTTTGAATTATTAAAGTGAGTCTGAATTGAGACCCACAAGAGGAATATTGATGGATATGAAGAGATAAAATACGGACGGGAGCTTATATGTTTTCTAGGTCTCAATTTCCCCCTCTCTTCCTTTCCATCTGGTATCTCCCACCCATAGTAACACCATTCTCCTCTACAACCTCCAACCACTGAAATTTCTACAACAATTGTGGTCATTGTTGCCACAGCCTAATCAACAATGGCCACAATTGAGATGGTTGAGAGCTATAAAGAAACCCAATCACACTATGTTGCTTGCAAAAAGACCTGTCAATTAGGTAATGAAGTTCCCCGCAATTTTGCACCATGAGTTGTAGACTAATGGTAAGAATTTTTTTCAAGTCGAATGGAGCCCAAAATGAACAAATGAAACTAGAAATGATGACGAGGCAGTATAGGATTAGCCATAGAGGCTGTACGGTGGTGGGATTGTTGTTGGGAGACTCTCGGGAGGAAGACAATGAGTGGGTAGTGCGAGAGGCGGTGGTTGATTGCATGGGCTGGGGCTGATTGTTGGCTACGAGGGTTGGGGAAGAGGGAGGTAGCGGTGGTTGGTGATGGGGCATGGGAAGAGGGAAGGGATAGTAGAGAGACCATAAGACCATCTTCAATTATTCATTAAATTTTTCATCTAATTTGATTTTAAATTTGAGTAAACAATTTGATATGATATGAATTATTCTAATTCTTTTATTAAATTTTCATCAAAATCTTTTAAAAAACTACCTTGTCATACCAAATTTCACTTCATCTCCAATGTTTCATCTTTTTAAATTTTCATAAAATTTAAATTTGATACATCTCCAATGTTTCATCTTTTTAAATCTTCACCTCCAAGACAGGGAATGTCACCTGCAAAATTTAATAAATCAAACTTATGTTCTTTTGAGTTATTATGTTCTTTTGAGTTCAAAAAAAAAAAAAAAAAAAAAAAAAACTTACGTTCTCTCAATAGAAATTTACACATAAAGCAGTACATTTTAATTTTCTAGTCAGAGCTGCAAGATGGATGATCTATATTCCTATCCAATTTGTAATCATCACTTCAAATGTTCACCAATCCAAATTTGCATAAATTTAGTAGACAAATATTTAATAAATTTCATTTTTGAAAATTCCTCAACTTATATACAGGTTGGGTTTGGAGTTGACTTATTAAAATTATTTTTTGGGTTTTGTTAAAAAAGTTGTTTTATTAATAAGTAAAAAAGTTGACGTGATATTTGATTTTTTAACTAATAATAAATAATTTTTAAAATTTTTTAAACTAAAATTAGTTTTTTTAAAAAAATGTCTCCAAATGCCCATTTAAACAACTTCATTGTATTTTGGGAGGGGAAAGGATTGGTCAATATAAAGAAGAACATTACAAAGTATGGAGACACATCAGGTTATCCATTAAAATCTAAGATATACTCTATCTATTCCAAATTGTTAGTTTATTTTTTACATTTGTGTCCTTTACACGAGTAAATAATATGTATTTTTATAAATTCAATATTTTCACAAATTAAAGTATATCAATTAATTCATGTAGATAAAATTTTCAAAATCATTGAAATATATATATCTAAATGATTTTTTAAGATGTTTGAAATAGTGAAAATAAACAAACAATTTAGGACAAGGGGAGTAACAAAAAATGTGTAAATAACATTAAGAGGAAAAATATCTTAGTTACCCTTAGTTAATTTTGTGTAAGACAATTTTTTTTTATCGTTTTATTTTTGAAAATTTTTAGTCTCTTATAGTAGCTTCGTTAATTTTTTTTTTTTATTTTGTTTTACATTTTGTCAATTGATCAAATATTAATTATAAATATAAAAATAATGACATTAATTTGGACAATTATAATCCAATAGCTCAACAATCACTACAAGAAATAACCCATAATAAAAAGTAAAAAACAACTCAAGCTAAACAAATACCACAATCAAAAAACCCATAATAGAACCAATAAATAGCACAATACAACCACAGAGAGATGTCTTTGGTAAAATTGATTCCTTTAACCTCCCAGATAGCAGAGTAAAAGTAAAGAAATGATCAATTGAACTCGCGTGGTTAATTAGGCTTAATTAGTTACCTCATAGTTATTTAGTTATAAGTTCAAACTCTGTATTTTATTCTTACAAAAGGTACATTGCTTGGCTAGATATTTAGTCTAATAATTTTTGTTATTTGAATTTTTCACATAAAAATCGTAAATCTTATGCAGTTCCTTGCATTTACTTTTAACATAAGATTAATGGATATACACCCGCATACTAATAAATTAAGGAGTAGTGTTATCTTAACTCAAAAGTTAAGACTTACTTTTTAAATCTAATTATCAACCAACAAAATCACTTTCATGGACTATTTCTCTCTCTCTCTTTCTCTCTCTCTCTCTCCTTATCAATTAATCAATCATCTCACTTACATATCATTAAGTCTAAAAAGTGAACTTGTATATTTTTTTTTTCTTAATTAAATATTACACTGACACGACCTCCAATTTGATATGGAAATTGCAAACGCATAGAGTAGTGGACAAAAAAATTGCATTACAAATAAATTTTTTTTTTTCACACAACTCTGACACATAGATTTAATTGTATCAAGCATAAGAATGAATTTGCATAATGCACATAAGAGAGTTGTACTATCATGAAAATGCAATTTTTTTCTCACTACTCTACTGAAATTTTTCCCAATTTGATATTCAGCGAATCTAATGGTACGAAATCAATAAACCAGCTAATAATTTTAATTTAAACAATTTAGTCCGTATAATTGCTTTAGTCTATATAATTTCAATTTTGTTACAATATGACCCTTCTGTCACTTACTATTATGATTTACCATTATAATTTGGAACCAACAAAGAAAAAAAAAAAAATCTAAAGAGACTAAAGTGGAATTCAAAACAAACTACAAGGACCACCGATGTAATATACCGGTGTCCCCATAATTTGTTTTGAATTCCATTTTAATCCCATTAGTTTTGCACGTTATTTTTTATTTTTTATCTTTTTTTTTTCAGTTCAATATATTAATAACGTATAATGGAACGATCATATTGCAACAAAATTAAAAATATAAGGATCAAATTATTCAAATTCAAACTTGGAGGACGAAAGTAAAATTTTGCTCAAAGTAGGGGGACCAGGGGTGTAATCTACCCATAGAACAACTTCATCAAATGACAAAAAATAATTTTAGGACTATTTCAATATCTATATATTTGATATGCCAAACACCCAATTGTAATATTTCTCACAATAAGGGATTATGATCCGCCGTTCCCAAATTGATGTTTAAACAGAGTTCATAATTCTATCAACAAATATATTGTCTGGGTTGAGGATAAAATTTTATCCTTCTAACACCAAATGTTTTAGGACATTATTTTTAAAAGCTTAAACAATTATGCTATGTTTAGATCTAGATTTACCGAGGAAAAGTAGAAACATGAAAATAAAAGTATTTGTACCTGTTCATTTTTTCTGCATTAAGAAAAGAAAAGAATAATAATGACCTTGTTTGGTTTTAACTTACTTCGCAAGATAATTGCGTTTTTTTTTTTTTTTTTGTATTTTTCTTGATTTTTAAAAATATTTTACATACATTTTTTATTTTTTAGATATACCTACTATAGATATATTTTAAAAAATATAATATTTTTGAAAAAGACTTTAAAAAATTCACTAAATACAAATAAATTAATAAATTTTTGTATTTTGTTGTATTCAATGAAATTTTTTAAAGATTTTTGTACAAATTTTATATTTGAAGTATATTAAGATTAAGTGAATCTAAAAACTTTAAAATAAAATGATTAAAATATTTTAAAAAATCATTAAAAATACATGAGTACGAATTAAAAACTCAAAAAATTATTTTTGAAAACTCCTAACCAAACAGGGCTATTTATTTTCTTTCATTTTTTTAGTTTAACCAGTAAAAATAAAAATATTCAGTTCATCTCACTTAGTTATTCTTTCCTTTTCTTTTTTTTTTTGTTAAACTTCCCTAAAGAAATCTTAGAACCAAACATAATGTAAGAATTAATTTGTAAGTTTTGGGATTAGGAAATAGAAGGTCAGGAAATAATATTATCTCTTGAGGTAGATAATTTTATGTATGAGGTTTCTGTTTCAGAGTCAACTTTAATTATGTTTTAAGATCTTTTGGGTGCTATCAATCTTATTTTGGTTAATAAAGGGAAGTTTACATACACACTCCATACAATATTTCATAATTTTATCACAAGTAGTCATAATAAAATCACAAAAATGCATAACATTGCTCATCCCAGAAAAAAAAAAAGAATCATAATTTTTTTATTTTTTTAACATAACCAAAAATTCAATAATAACTAACATAACCAAAAAATTTAATAATAACTAGCACCACAAAAATTGGTAAACTGCCTTATGACAAAAAGTAATATGGGTAAAAATAAAAAATAAAAAATAAATCTTTGAAATAAAATAAAAAAACTAGAAATTTATCCAAAATGAAGATAGATGGTTCAAATTCAACTTATGTGTTGTGGATTCATATATAAAATGCATTTAGACCATTCATTTAAGGTCTTGAGTAAATTTATAGGGTAAATATTATAGATATGTAGCTATTGAATTTTTAATCACGTGAGGTAGTATTAACACCTAGTATTTTATGAGATTATGACTTGATTAAAAAAATTTGTAGCTCTACGAACTTATAAAACTTATTGCAGTCGTACCTTTTCATTAAAGAGGGGTTGTGGTTGGAGGTATTCTTCTTCCTCTTCTTCTTTAGGTCCACAATGGCCATAGAAACTTTTCAGATTCCGCAGATTATATAAATGTAGAGAACACAGTTTAGGGAAAACAAGAGGCTTATCGTAGGCACCTCCTTCCTTATTAGCTACTACTATTGCTTTCAAGTTGTTACCACCAAATATATGTAGACGTTGGAGACACGGTAGGTTCCTTAGTTTCCAAAAGGATTCTTTCTCTTCTTCTTTGATTGGGTGTTTTAATTGTTTGTCCCCTGCTATCCCTGATATCTTATCTAAACCCGAAACATCCAAGTCCCCCAATGCAGGGAATGCCACCTGTAAATATTAATAGATCAAACTTATGTTCTTTCAATTACCAAACATTGCCAAATCAACAGAAAAAGTTACTAAAAAGCAAACCTTTTCACAAAAGAGAGGTTGTGAAGGGTTAGAATTGTTTGCCTCTATTGTTGAAGTGTTCTTCGTGCTCGAACAGAAGCTTCTGAGGTTGGGTAACTTCCATAAATCCATTTTTTTTAAATGATGAAAAATAATTTCCTCATCATCTCCTTGTCTTTAATTTCTAATAATTTCTTCCATATTCTCAGTCTCTGATTTTTAGATATTGGAGTTGCACAAGGCCTCTTGCAACCGAGAGGGAGAATAGAAATGTAAATCTACATCTTTTAACAATTAATTTGCACAAGTTACAAAAAGACCGTGGTGGACTTTGTGGCTGAGCTTTCAGAAACATTTCTGGTGTGCAAAGAAGATGTTTGTTAGAATTTACCATTTACACTCACTTACTACACTCCACCTACCACCAATTTACCCTCACCTACTCCTCACCTACTACCCAAACCCTCTCCTATATAATGAGCCACTCTGATTTGTAATATAACACATCAATCAATAAATCAATCAATAATACATATATTTTTACATGGTATCAAAGCAAGGTTAAAGGTCTTGGTGTTCTTCGCCTTCCGGTGGGCGGCAACCTTGCCTTGACCGCCCGCCGGATCTCAACCAATTCAACTGCCTCGCTTCCCTCATCCTCTTCTCTCCCTCTCTCTCTCTACACTCACGAGAAGCTGAACTGAGAGCCACCTCCTCTTAGATTTGGTAAAGTTCATCTGTACAACAATTACACCAGAAACTGGGGCATATATGCTGTTTTGTGCTAGTGTGGAATCACAGATATACTCTCAATGCAACGTCTATGAAGCAGGACAGAAGAAAAAAAAAAAAAAAACTTTTGAATATTATACAGAAAAGGCAGCAGACAAGAAAGAGGCCAAGTCTGGCTTGATAAGGTCTGAAGGGGACTTGTTCCTGAATGGAGCTCAAGCATGCTTATTAACCGGGGTTGGTGAAGAATGCATGTTCCATCCAAGTGAATTTTATCCAACATGGACATTGGAATCTGCCTCGGATTCTTTGAGAACTGTTCTCCAAATCTGCGCTGGTTGGCAATCCATTTCCGGCCACCCGACAGAGGCGAGGACTACACGATCCTCCAAGCGCTGTTCAGCATCGACATGCTGGTCCTCTTCGTCGCCACAACCTGCGGCGTCGCAGGGACTTTAACCGCCATCGACAACCTGGGCCAGATCGGAACTTCTCTCGGATACCCAACTCGGAGCATCAGCACATTCATCTCTCTCTTTGTTTATTAGCGTCTATAGAATAAACAACACCACTTTTATTTGTCAGACTCCCCTTTTCCACCCACATGTTCCCATTTCTTTTCTTTTCTTTATTTTCCATTTTCAAACCCTTTATTTTTTTTCTTCTCTTTGAATTCCGTAATGCATTATCAGCCGATCTACTTTTTCTTTTCTTTATTTATTTATTTATTTATTTTTTCTTTTTCTCCCTTTACACCCTTTCTTTTCCTTTCTTTTTCTCCACTAGCCGACATACACCTGCATAAAGAGCCCCTTTTCTTTTTGTTTATTTAATCAACCCCACTCCACTTTCTCTTATTTTAATCTATCTCTATCTCTATATATCTATGTTTTTTTTTTTTTTTAATCTATTGCACAGACCATTCTTATTAGTATTATTATTCTTATTCTTATTATTCTTTTTATTTTTTTTTTGTTTCTTTTTTTTATTTTTACACACCCACAAAAAAAAAAAAAAAAAAAAAAAAAAAAAAAACCCCACAATTCAACTCACACTTCCTCTGTCAACTCTCTCTCTCTCGGCAGTTTTTGGAGGGGAGGAGAAACAACACAATTCAACTCACACTTCCTCTGTCAACTCTCTCTCTCTCGGCAGTTTTTGGAGGGGAGGAGAAACAACACAATTCAACTCACACTTCCTCTGTCAACTCTCTCTCTCTCGGCAGTTTTTGGAGGGGAGGAGAAACAACACAATTCAACTCACACTTCCTCTGTCAACTCTCTCTCTCTCGGCAGTTTTTGGAGGGGAGGAGAAACAACACAATTCATCAACCTCTCTCTCTCTCTCTTGGTTAACATGAGAGGAGAGACAACATTTTTTTGGCAGCACAAAATCCACACACAAGGAACCAATCAGGAAAAAGATGTCTTCAACCTCTCTCTCACTCTCGGTTAAGACCACATGCACGCACTACCCTTCTTTTTACTTTTTTTTATTTCTTTATTTTTTTTTTTCCACACACAAGGAACCAATCAGGAAAAAGATGTCTTCAACCTCTCTCTCACTCTCGGTTAAGACCACATGCACGCACTACCCTTCTTTTTACTTTTTTTTATTTCTTTATTTTTTTTTTGTTTCTTTACATCTCTTTACACCACCCTTCTCCACTCATATTTTTTTTATATTTATTTTTATTCCATCTTTTGACCCGGACACGAACCCCACACTGTTTTGCACATCCATCATCCTCTTTTTCTCTGTTTTCTTTCTCTATTTTCTTGTATTATTATTTTTTATTAAATAAAATAAAAAAAAAAACAAAAAAACAAAAAAACAAAAAAACAGAAGAAGAAGAACTGCTACAACACTCATTTTATTCATGTCGGGCCTCACCCCGATCATCATTTTACAAAAAAAAACAAAAACAAAAACAAAAAAAAAACAGCCACACCCACAGTGGGATTTTTCTTTTCCCTTCTCTATTCTACTGCAGGTCTCTTCTTCTTACTTTTATCTTGGGTGTCCCGTGCCAGTCCGGTCTCCGTGTTTCCTTGTCCACCAAGCAAGTTGCCTCCTCCCTGCTCCTCCACTGCCGCATCCCTGCTCCTCCACCACCATCCAGTGTCCTCTACCACGTTATGGCACCACCTTTCAGTGTCTTCACCAACGGTCTGACACGACCATACAGTGTCTCCTATCTTTCTTTTTTTTTATGTATTTTCTTGTTTTGTTACTCTCTCCAAACTCAAGTTAGTTAGTTCCTATCCTCCTTGAGTTTGCGGGGGGCTGTTAGAATTTACCATTCACACTCACCTACTACACTCCACCTACCACCAATTTACCCTCACCTACTCCTCACCTACTACCCAAACCCTCTCCTATATAATGAGCCACTCTGATTTGTAATATAACACATCAATCAATAAATCAATCAATAATACATATATTTTTACAATGTTCAACATCAGAACATTCTTTAACTTTAAGATACTTTAATTTAGAAAACCCTGTTCCATCTTCATCATGAAGCGGAACCTTTTCCATATTTTGAAGGCTAAGTATCTCAAGGTTCCTTAATCTCCCCAATAGAGCTAAGCCTATGTCTATCTTCAGTAGGCCATTTAGGGACAACAACCGAAGCTTGACTAATGTTGGAAGTGACGATGGGAGGCTCTCTAGAGGAATTTCACTCAGATCCAGGACTTCAAGATTGTTTTCCATTCCATTGAAAAAATTGTTTGGAACATCTGTTCGTGAGCAGTCATTGTTGCTTTTCAACACCAAGGTATGGAGTCCTCTACATTCCAACTCATTGGGAAGCTCGCAGATAGTTGTGGTGAACCTTAATGACATTGCCAAGTAATGTTCATATGTGCCCTTCTCTGGCCACTTTTTGATATCATGATTCACTAGATATCCTTTCTCATCTTCCGCGATTGATATAGCAACATCTCGAATAACATCATGCATTTTGACCCCAATTGGGTTTATGCCATCTAACAACAAACAAGATGATTTGAGCCCATCAACCAATGTAAGTACTCTGGCTCTGACGTCTTCAACTGTATTTAGGTGTATTTGATCAAGCAACCTCATCCCGATGCTGTATCTCACCAAGTCCTCAATGGAAATCTCAGCATCTTCGGAAAACAGAGCAAAGCAAGAAGCATGACCGTGCATCATTGGGTTCTAAAAAATCATAGCTCAACTTTAAGGAGGAGAACAATTTTTTATCAATATCCACTACATCCCTCAGCTTTGAATTTTTAGCTGTGTGTGTGCATCTATCCATACATAGTTGCTCTTACTTTTTAATGCAGCTGCAACTACACATATAGCAACTGGCAAGCCTCCACATTCATTACACACGTCTTCTGCTGCAGGGGGTATTCCAGAGTTAACTGAAATTTCAGCCATCTTCGTAAATAGGCTCCATGCTTCTGTGTCTCTTAACACTTCGATCGGGAAAACTTTCAGTTCATTAGACTTTTGCATCATTTGGCACACACGTTGTTTCCGTGACGTTATCACAACTTTGCAGACCATGTTACTACCATTTGTAAAAGGAATTCCAATTTCTGGCAAGTTAATAAGTGGCTCATTGTCACCACCATCTGTAGTAGGAATTCCAAGCTCTGCCAAATCAAGTGGCTCCCAAACGTCGTCCAAAATTACAAGGTTTTTTCGCCCATTGCTCAATCTATTCAATAGTTTACCTGCTCTTCCAAACTTATCTAGCGTTAGTCCTAGTTGACTTGCGAGTTCACCTTGAACTTTTTCCTTTACCACACCTTTGGACACAGTTGTCATGGCAACAGAATCAAAAAGCCTATTTCTCTTTGCTAGTTGGCGAACCTCTTCCACCATTGTTGTCTTGCCAACACCACCTGGTCCGTAAATGCAAATCATTTTAATGCTTGGATCTTCCAATGTTTTCATGATCTCTTCAAAGATGCGTTTCGTTGAATTGCTTCATATTTTGCAGAGAATGTGAATCCAGCATCTGGGAGAGGTGCGCGGTGTGACATTGGGCATGTCATAAACTTGGCGCCCTCCCCTTTTAGATTAATAACACGAGTGGTCTTCTTTTTGGACTCCTTGCCTAGCCAGTAACGCCAATATATATTTGGACACGAGCATTTGAAACACCAATTGTTTTCCCTTACCATGTCTAGTAGAAACACCTCAACTTCTGCTTGCATTCCATACGCAGACAATAGCCACTGCCAAACATCATTCTCAACAACTCTTGCATCGTCTCTGGCTCTGTGGGCACTTCCATCAATCCTTCTCCAATCATATTCAAGCCCTATAATTTCATCTTGAAGTTTTTGAATGTACTTCTTATAGTGAATCACATAGCCAACGTGAGACCAGCCAGTTTTGCAGGCTTTTAGGACACCGTCTGAACATAACATTTTAACGATGTCGCCCAAACCAATCATTTTGGTATCTTTTTTGTCAATTGCTGAAAACAAAAGGACACTATGTTGATAACAGGAAAACAAAGTTCAAGAGGGTTTAGCTTCAAGAGTTCATTTTTCTTTTAGCCCTGCTTCTCAAAGAAAAGAAAAGAAGCTCTACTTGCCAAATTTCCTAATTCTCACTTGGTTTGATTTAGTTTGGTTTCTAAATTTTTAAAACCACAAAGACTGATTCAATTTTTAATTTACCTCAAAACTGGATTAATCAGTCAGTAAATCTACAAATAACATTGTATAGAAGGCTAATTTTTGTGATTTGAGAAGGGTGGATGATATTTTTTGGTAATTCATTTTTTACTATATTATATAATTTTAGAGCTTTAAATTAATTTAATGGTTTGTAATGGTAGATCTAGAAAGCAAACAATTAATTGGAGAGAATGTGGTAATGTATTTGACCTGTAGCCTGTAGGTGATCTTTTGCAGATAAGATAATGAGAGGAGTAGAAGATCCTCAGCTCAGTTGTAGTAAATTGTTACAACCGCATAAGATGAGTTCTGATGATGGGAGGCTCTCTAGAGGAATTTCACTCAGATCCAGGACTTCAAGATTGTTTTCCATTCCATTGAAAAAATTGTTTGGAACATCTGTTCGTGAGCAGTCATTGTTGCTTTTCAACACCAAGGTATGGAGTCCTCTACATTCCAACTCATTGGGAAGCTCGCAGATATTTGTGGTGAACCTTAATGACATTGCCGAGTAATGTTCATATGTGCCCTTCTCTGGCCACTTTTTGATATCATGATTCACTAGATATCCTTTCTCATCTTCCGCGATTGATATAGCAACATCTCGAATAACATCATGCATTTTGACCCTATTTTGGCTTCTGCCATCTAACAACAAACAAGATGATTTGAGCCCATCAACCAATGTAAGTACTCTGGCTCTGACGTCTTCAACTGTATTTAGGTGTATTTGATCAAGCAACCTCATCCCGATGCTGTATCTCACCAAGTCCTCAATGGAAATCTCAGCATCTTCGGAAAACAGAGAGCAAAGCAAGAAGCATGACCGTGCATCCTTGGGTTCTAAAAAATCATAGCTCAACTTTAAGGAGGAGAACAATTTTTTATCAATATCCACTACATCCCTCAGCTTTGAATTTTTCAGCTGTGTGTGTGCATCTATCCATACATAGTTGCTCTTACCTTTTAATGCAGCTGCAACTGCACATATAGCAACTGGCAAGCCTCCACATTCATTGCACACGTCTTCTGCTGGCAGGGGGTATTCCAGAGTTAACTGAAATTTCAGCCATCTTCGTAAATAGGCTCCATGCTTCTGTGTCTCTTAACACTTCGATTGGGAAAACTTTCAGTTCATTAGACTTTTGCATCATTTGGCACACACGTTGTTTCCGTGACGTTATCACAACTTTGCAGACCATGTTACTACCATTTGTAAAAGGAATTCCAATTTCTGGCAAGTTAATAAGTGGCTCATTGTCACCACCATCTATAGTAGGAATTCCAAGCTCTGCCAAATCAACTGGCTCCCAAACGTCGTCCAAAATTACAAGGTTTTTTCGCCCATTGCTCAATCCTATTCAATAGTTTACCTGCTCTTCCAAACTCATCTAGCGTTAGTCCTAGTTGACTTGCGAGTTCACCTTGAACTTTTTCCTTTACCACACCTTTGGACACAGTTGTCATGGCAACAGAATCAAAAAGCCTATTTCTCTTTGCTAGTTGGCATGGCAACAGAATCAAACGGTCGTTAGTATTCTGCCTTATCCTGTTGGCACACATAACATTGAGAAACATACTCTTCTACATCTTTCTTTATACTTTCCCACCAAAACGTCCTCTTCAGGTCATGATACATCTTAGTCCCACCAGGGTGAATGGTATATCGGGACCTATGGGCCTCATCCATAATCTCTTTCCTCAATTCAACAATGCTAGGTGCACACAACCTGTCCTTAAATCGTAATCCCCCATCTGAGTCCACAGACTAATCAGTAGGACAATCATCAATCAAACCCACTACAAGGTCACGAGCTTGCTGACAAGAAACCCATCTAAATACTACATCTGACGAATTTTACCCAGTAACGTCGGTTGCACGGTCAAACTACCAATGTATTCCCTCTCAATATTCTCTATTGGTTGAACATCATGCATCGAAATTAACTCCAAGGACTTCCATTCCTGAATCATCAAAAAAGCTATAATCCCATGTTGTTGACTAAAGGCATCTGCGACCACATTTCCTTTCCCCGGGTGGTAAAGGATCTCGAAATCATAACTACTGACGAATTCAACCCACCTTTGTTGCCTCATGTTCAACTCTATTTGAGAAAAAAGATATTTGAGGCTCTTGTGATCTGTGTACAACTCAAAGTGCTCCCCAAACAAGTAGTGTTACCACACTTTCAACGCAAAAACAACTGCTGCCAACTCTAAGTCATGAGTAGGGTATCGTCTCTCATGAGGTTTTAACTGTCGAGAAGCAAAAGATACAACCTTCTGATGCTGCATCAACACACATCCTAACCCAATTCCACTCGCATCAGTAAACATTACTAACTTTTTCCCTTGTACCGATGTAGTTAAAACTGGAGCTGTAGTTAACCGTTGCTTTAACTCCTGGAAAGCTTTCTCACAATTATTTGTCTATAAGAACTTAACATTCTTGCGGGTCAACTTGGTCATGGGTACTGCAATAGTAGAAAACTTCTCTATAAATCTCCTGCAATAACCGACTAGTCCTGAAAAAATTCTCACCTCTGTAGGGTTCGTAGGCTACTTCCATTTTTTGACCGTAACAACTTTCTCAAGATCTACTGCTATCCCTTGATTGGATACAACATGTCCCAAAAATCAAACTTCTTTCTCCCAAAAGTGACACTTACTGAACTTAGCGTATAACTGTTGCTCCCTCAAAGTTTGCAATACATTTTTCAACTGTTCTTTGTGTTCCTCCTCATTCTTAGAATACACCAGGATATCATCTATGAAGATAATCACAAACTTATCTAGATATAGTTTCAAAATTATGTTCATCAAGTCCATAAAATAGGAAGGAGCATTTATCAAACCAAAAGGCATTACGGGAAACTCGTACAACCCATACCGAGTCCAAAAAGTAGTAAACGGTATACTTTCCTCTAACACACCCATCTGATGGTAACCCGTTCTGAGATTAAACTGAGAGAACATGGCTACCCCCTTCAACTGATCAAACAAGTCATCAATTCTAGGGAGCGGATAGTTCTTGATAGTCACCTTGTTTAGCTCTCTGTAATCTATGCACATACGGAGAGTGCCATCTTTCTTGGAGACAAATATTGCGGGTGCTCCTTACGGGGAGTTACTTGAACGAATGAACCCTTTCTAAAGCATTTCTTCCAACTGCTTCTTCATCTCCACAAGCTTTTTAGGCACCATTCTATATGCCGCCTTAGAAATCGGTGTAGTTCTTGGCACTAGGTCAATGCGAAATTCTACTACCCGTTGAGGTAGAGGTCCAGGTATCTCTTGAAATACATCCTCAAACTCACACACCACTTTTACCTCACTAATATCTTGCTTAGGGATTTCTACCAAGCATAAAAAAACTCGTCATCACCGACTCTTCTCTATCGCTAGAAGTGTGGGTAAGCTGTGACATACGGGGAATATCTATATTTATAGTCCTTCCAGCACAATCTAGAGTCACAAAGTGTTTTCACGGCCAATTCATACCAAAAATAATTGTAAACCCTTCAAACCCTAACACAATTAGGTCCGTATACAAGACTCTATCCGCAAAGTCAATCTCAAAATCTTTACACATCTCATAAAGAGTAACTGTCCCTCTTAAAGGGGTCTCAACACGAATAGGTCTAAACAAAGAGGTAGTTACAATATGTTCTCTTTCTACAAACAGTCTAGATATAAAAGAATGAGAGGCATCAATATCAAAAGTATACTCTAATGGCTTTCTTGAGAAATATTAAAGATACCTTCTAGCCATCACCTTTAAGTTAAACACACAAAAAGAATTCATTCATAAATACTTAGAATAAATTCAACCACCACCCTAAACCAGCTAACACATGTTTCCACAATCCGAGGATCACCTAAACTCTTACAAGTCTAGGGCAACCTAGAGCTCTGATACCAAACTGTCACGCCCCAAAATTTGGACAATTAAATATTAAATTAGGACTAAACCCCAATTAATATTCCATCATCCAAACCCTATGTGTGAAATAAAAAAACTAAACGCGAACTAAACCATCCACTATAACTTCATAACTAACCAATACCTCAAACATTAAAGTAATAATACATAGTCAAAATAACTTAAATAATGTACGGTTACAAACTATACCAAATTATCCCAATACTAAATCATAAATAAAAAATAAATAAATACATAAACTAATATCAACTCTAAGCTCAAGAAAACAAAAAAAGTCCAAACGACATGTCCTACGATCATAGTTATTTCTTGTCACTACCATAACCTCAACTAATCCTGCAAAGGAAGCTCTGCTGTGCTCAAACAAAATGCACCCGAGTTGCCAAGAGACAAAACGAGTCAGTATACAAGTACACTAATATGAGTACAAGATTTAACACTCACGTGTCCACTGGACACAAGAAAAAATACATTTAATTCTTGTTATGGAATAAGACAAGTAGTTCTACTCGCACCGAGACGAATAGCTAGTTTCTTGAGATACGGTGGCATTTAGTTTCTTGCCCGTACACAACGAAATATAAATAGAGTATGGAATAAACAAAATAAAAATAAAAATATGGTGGGTCAACCCTGCATAAAAAGTTAGTAAGACCTACTATTCTGCAAAAAAAAAAAAAAAAAAAAAAGTATAATTTAATCATAAGTAACTTGCTAAAGAAGTAAAAAAATGCACCGTTTCATAACTTAAATAATTCGAATTGACCAAAACTCAAAGAACAAAAGTTGTACAGAATCAAATTTCCTAAAAGGTAATGTGAACGAATTTAGTAGAAACTGAACAGCTTGAGAGAAACACTTAACAAAAAATCCTAATCGAAATTCGATTGAAAAATCTGGAACTGAAAATGAAAAGAAACTACTGTAAGATGAATTTTTTCAGAAACGTTCAAAACACAAAAATTGTTCAGAATAATGTTTTACTTCAGTTCACGTGAAACCAATAAAAATGAGCTTGTTTCGTGTGTTAAAACAGCTTCTAAAATCTGCATTGCTAAAATGAATCAAAACTACAATAACCAAAATCATCCGATTATAAGTTCTAATCGATCTTTTTAATAAAAAGTTAAAACACAAAAGTTGTCTAGAATCGCATATACATGCCTCTGCTCAAATTTCATAATTTATCGAGGTCGTTTACTCTTTTTCAACCTGTACAAATTAATCCAATTGACACTATAACAATAAACTCATAATTAAATTCTTTGTACCTTAACTCCACCACTTCGGCCCTTCACTTCTAGCTTACACATATATCCCATGTGCCTCCCATATACCTAACACCGCTCCGAAGCCAAACTTGCATGGAGATATCGTCCCGAGTCTGACTCACACTCCCCGAATGGTTAACATTTACGTACGCGCATAAATTAAAGCACTCGTCTACTCATAAGAACGAGGCAACAATATATATACAAAACATCTTACTCATGAGAATAAACATAACAATGTCAAGCCTAAGACATTCAAATAAATCTCATAATCCTTACTTTTTTCATACACTCTTTTCAAATAAAACAATAATCCATGGAATCTTGGTGGAGTATAAGGAATTTATCTATGGGTTCCTAATTAATTTTAATTTCATATAACCATGAGTGCGATTACAAATATAAAATAAATCCATATAAAAACCCTAAACCTTGCATACACAACTAATCAAAATAATTCAAATCAATCAATCATCTAAAAACCCTAAACCTTGCATACACAACTAATTAGCACTCCGGCGGATAAGTCAGTGTATACTCTCTTGGTTGCTTGTATCTCAAATTAATCTTACTTATTCTCACATACCTTTCTTTGGCTGATGTTCCTCTATTTATATCTTCCTTTAGGCCCCAGGGTCGGGCCCACTTTTAATCTATTGCGCGTTTATTTATTCGGCCTTTGTTCAACTGGTTTTGCGGCCTATTAGTTTATTCGGCTTTGGGATTGTCCAGGACAAAGCCGAATACAATATTTATCCTGATTATCCTCAGACCTGTTATTCAGCTTTCTCGTATGTCCATCAACATTATCCGGCACCCACAATTGCCCCCCAAATATCCTATTAACACCAGTTAGACGGTATGTTTGGTTTCGAACGGCGTGTTTGTTTTCGAACTTGAAAAGTCAAAGAAAAAACGACGGTTAGCCTCATTCCAACGTATGTCAGTACAAACGCTTTTTAGGTATCATTACATCTTCCCGTCCCTTCGTACGCTTCCTTCATTTAATGCGATTTGAAACTATGTTGTCCCTTCGAATGTATGTTTTTTGAACACTCAAAGCTTCTGGTCTGCCTTTCAGTATACCTCCTCTATTTCGCAACCTCTGCAACTTCCTTCTGTTTCTCATTGTCTCCTCTGCTTCTTGTAAGTTCTCTTCTCCTTCATTTCGAATCCCATTTCCTTGTTTGTTTTTACTTTAGCATACTCCTTAGACTGGCTAGGATGGCAAAACATCTGAAAGACCTCCTTTCTGCGGATCGAATTTTTGGCTTTTGACGCCATTTTTCCATTCCTGACAATGTCCATCTGTCACTCATGGCAGACAACACCCTTGATATGGAGAGGACTGATGAAAGTACAATCATCTTCCCTCTCCTATCAATTGCTGAGGGCGGAGTCCGTTTCCTCCTTCACCCATTTCTTAGGGCCGTCATTCGCCATTGGGGTCTAATCTCTTCTCAACCTAATGTAAATTTTTTTTGAATCATAATGGGGATTGTAGAGTTGAACTGACGCCTTAGGATTAATCTTGGCATACCTGCTATTCGACATTGTTATGCCTTGGCCAAATCTTCTAGTCGGCAGGGGCGCTATTTTCTCAGGGCCAAGGACACCGACCATTAATTCAAACAATATCAAAAGGTTTTGTCCAAATGGTGTGATATCTGAATGGTATGATTACTTAATTCTTTTTACACATTAGTTTCAATGTGTTATATGGTATACCATTGCTTCTCTTTCATAATTATTGCATCCATAATACAAAAGATATTAATTTGGAATGAAAACTGCTATATCCATTTGATTATGCATCCTAGAAACTACTCTGAAATAACTACATCAAGTGCAGAGACATTTCACGTAATAATACGTCTCCCTTCATATCTTCTGCTAATTAATAAGACTATCTAAACGGGAGAATAGTGAAGACCAAGAAGATTGAATCATTTTCAAAGCTATGGAAAAGTGTGTTGCATGTTCACTTCCAAGATGACTGAATGCCCTTCAGCAATCAAGAAGTAGCTATCTCTTTCATAATAAAAGCAAGCTAGCAAAAGCTGGTTAAGATGCATTCTGCTTTGATAATAACATGGTAGAGTACCAAAAAGTCTGTACTCTTCTGTGGCTTATTTCTGTAACTATTTTTTGGTTTTAATCAATAAACTTTCAGAGTTGAGACTGTCTCTAAACCAATTACCATACAACTTACCATATCATATACAATTGAGACTTCTAAAAGAGCAATAACTTTACTGATCTAAACTAGTTGAAAGGTTTCCATTAAAAAACCAGTACATTTAGATATTTTCCATAGCTTCAATGCTTTCAGTAACAAACAACTTTAATTCACCTAAAAAAAAACGATAAAAAACACTTCATTAAGCATAAGCTAACCACGATAATTCCAAATTAAGAAATGAATGAGTAGATAAAAATGTTCCTGAAAATCATCTATTGTTGCATTAACTGATTTGGAAAGTTGTCTTTGGGATAGAGATAGCATCGAGACCTTTGCTTTGGTTTGGATTTTTACATCAAAGGTTTGCAAACCATGCATTATTTTGATTAGAGTTATTGGTAAAAGTGATTGATTTGATCGTGTATGGAGAAGAGAGAGATTTATTTTGGAAAACTTTGTAACAACAAGTTTTAGAAAAAAATTTTAGGAAAATTTGTTTGGTTTGATTCTTTTTGCAAACTTATTGTCAAAGAAATTTTTCCGCAAAAATTTTTTTGAGAAACAACCAAACAAGGCCACTATTTTTCACTCACTGAAGTTGGAAGGTTGTCATGGGGAGATAGTAGAATCGGAGCTTCTTTGGAGGATTGGTACCTAACTCAAAGGCAAACATGCAAGTTATTTAAATATAAAATACAAATGATTTGAATCAAATTTACTTGAATTAAATCATCAAAATTATATTATCATGTTTAGTTTTTCCTTTTACATCATTTGGTTCTTTCTTTGATAAGCATGGCTCTTATCTCATCGATGTTGTTGTCTAATCTAGCACCTTGCCTTCAAGTTTTCTCATGTGCTCATTTTGGTGTACTTGTGCATCAACCTTAGATTGTAATGCCATTTCCAG